TCTGTTTCCTCCGCCCCCAATGCACCCCCTTTTTTTGCACACAGTAGGGTTTTTTAAAAAATAAAAATTAACAAGTTTCTAAAACTTTTCTAGATCACCTTTCCAGAATTCAGCACAAGAAGGCAATGTGCAAGGCCAGTTTCAGGCACACTTATTATGGGCTCCGTTCTGAAAAGGGTCTTTTTAAACAGTACCCTTTTGTTGGGAGCTTTTATAAAGAAAAAGCAGTGATAAGACTGATACCTGAAAAACTTGCCAAGGTTATTGGACGTTGCTCTTCATCAAAGCCATCTCCTGCGGCTGTAGGATCAAATATGAATTTATTTGGTCCTTTAACCATACCTTGCGCATGTCCACAAGGAACCCTTTCCCTTTCTCTCCCTCTCAGAGATGAGGAGTGCACATTGAATATGGCTGACCCCCCCCCCCCGATTGTGTACTTTTGTGCAGGGCAGAAGGGGGTCCTAGCAGTAACACTGTGTTCTCCACTGTCCTCGTGACTCCACTGTGGAGCTAAAATGCCATACTTAGATGCAGACGGATCCTCTCGCTTAGATGTTTCTGTGAAATCAGTGGGGCGCTTGGGACCGAGGCACAAAGCTACGAGACCCTGCCGTGAGCAACATAACTACAGCACAAATATTGTCTGTTTACCTCCTCCCAAACAACCCTCCTGTTTTATCATCACAGCTTGTACCACACCCAGTGTTAAGTTCAAGGCAAAATTCCATAGAGATGGCCTTTTTCTTGAAAGCTCAAGTCGAAAACTGCAGCAGAGCCGTTGTTGACCTTAAAATTTACTGCACACAATCCGTACTTCTGTTCCTTCTACTTGAGCAGCAGTTAAACACTGTGGAGGGTTTTGCTGCATGTTCCTTGCCTTGTGCAGGCACTGGTGATTTTTTACTTGTAGGAAGTTGGCTTTTTATGTTGGCAGAATGACAGCGAATTTTCTGAACAGTGCCAACTGAAGTCTAGTGAGTACAAAATCAATAGCTGCCTGGCACAGGGAGCTTCAGAAATTTGCTCCTCGTGGAGGTTAGTGGAACTGGTGAATCTAAATGCTTCATGGGATGTAGATTTTGAGATCCACCTGAGAGCTGGGAGCTCATGTGCCAATGCATGTGTCTTCCCTGGGCCATGCCCATCCGCCAGACCCCCTGTTTATATGTGCTGTTCAGTTAGAAATAACAGCTGTGGCACAATTAGCAAGACCAAGACTATGTTTAGCACCAACTGGATGCAAAGCACATACTGGACATTTGAAACACTTCCATAGCTAAGAGATCTCTTCCTTTCTCTGCCTGCCTTTTCTGGAGGAATCAGATAAAATGGTACAAGGCATATTATTACTACTACTACTACTACTACTACTGTTATTATTATTCCAAATAATGAATAGACTAAACTAATAAATTTAATTGTACCAGAATTCATCATTTAGATTACCAAAACAGTTAAAGCAGTGGTGACTGACAAACAGCTTCCTTGTTTTGTTTTTATTCTTAAATTGGCTACTATTTTGCTTGGCCAAGCAGGGTTTTTTTTTTTTTGTAGGTTGGGGTTTTGGGGTTTTTTGGGGGTAACAATACAGGCTGCAATCCTATGCATACTCACCAGGGTGCAAGCACCACTTAACTCAGTAGGATTTACATCTGAGTAGACGTGAATAGGATTGCACTGTAAAGCTAATTTAGCTGAACTGTGAGATAGATGCCAGTTCTCAGTTTAATTTGAACTCTCTCTGTCTTTTCTTTATGAACTAATGATGGTCTTTTCCTTTTCTGGCAGTACACCTGTAAATTACTGTCTAACAAGGTTACCTCTGAGGTACTTTTCAAGCACTTGCCTTTGCTTAACATCTTTTTTTATTTTTGCATGAGGATTTCAAATGCATGCTGCTGCAGTTTGCTTTCCATTGCTGTTTGCATAACCACTGAAGTGATGGCTTGAAAGATGAAGGCCTTTGTTTTGTCCAAAATACCGTTCCACCACACCGATAATTTTCACCCAACTGGGCCTTAAATTTATTTTCTTTTTCCCTCCTTTTTTGGGGACTAGGCAATGAATTTGAACAAAATGTGTGATGGGAAGTGCAGCTGGTTCCCAGGTATAACTGCCCCTAAACCAGGCATTAGGGACCTGTGGCGCTCCAGATACTTGGACTCGGACTTCCATCAATCCCAGTCAGCATGGCCAGTGGTCAGGAATGATGGGAGTTTTAGTCTTAACAACCTCTGCAGGGCCACAGGTTTCCCATGTCTGCTGTAAACAATGATGGCAACTAGTACCTAGCCTCAGTTTTGGGATTCTGTTTACAGTGGGGCAAGAAGAACATAGGACCACTTTCAAGATTCAGATCACAATATTTGAATTATGACTATGACTGCAGTCGTGTGGTGTTCATCCTCATGACTTAATGTGGGGAGTGGTCAAGAGTGATGCCCTCCTTATGCTCTGAACTACAATTACAGTGGTACCTCGCAAGACGAATGCCTCGCAAGACGGAAAACTCGCAAAACGAAAGGGTTTTTGGTTTTTTGAGTTGCTTCGCAAGACGATTTTCCCTATGGGCTTGCTTCGCAAGACAGAAACATCTTGCAAGTTTGTTTCCTTTTTCTTAAAACCGTTAATACAGTTGCGACTTGACTTCGAGGAGCAACTCATAGCACGCGGTGTGCTAGCCTTTTTTGAGGTTTTTGAAGACTTTGGTGATTTTTGAAGCTTTTCCAAAACTTGTCCGACACGGTGCTTCGCAAGACGAAAAAAACTGCAAGACGAAAAAACTCGCGGAACGAATTAATTTTGTCTTGCGAGGCACCACTGTACTGTCATTCCTGGCTATTTGGTTGTCATACTGGCTGGCGCTGTTGGAAGCTGTAGACCACAGCAGCTGGAGGGCACTACCTTGATTTCCCCAATTTAAAGTGAGGGGGGTGTCTGTAAACTGTGCACTAGATTTACAGCCCCATGTGTACCATCCAGAGAAGTAATTAAAGTGTTTTCAGCTCCAGTGCTGTCATTGCGATAGTGCTTGAACTTAATTGCATTCCTACCGCAGTGTCGTAGCAATCACTGATGCTGCCATGCTAATGGTAGCCACCCAGAGTGGCTAAGCAGCCTTTCTCAACCTGTGGGTCCCCAGATGTTGTTGAACTACAACTCCCATCACCCCTAGCTAGCAAGGCCAGAGCTCAGGGATGATGGGAGTTGTAGTCCAACAGCATCTGGGGACCCACAGGTTGAGAACCACTGGGCTAAGGAAACCCAGCCAGATGGGCAGGGTGTAAATTATTATTATTATTATTATTATTATTATTATTATTGTTAAAATTACTAATGGCTGCCCAGCCCTTATTGCAACATAGCTGTCCTTAAAGGGCAAGCAGTGTGGCTCAAGCAGAAGATTTTTGCACTTCACTTACATAGCATCCTGGCAACCCATAGAAATGAAGGAGGTAGGGCTGAGCACCACTTTAGGACAAAGCTCAGCATCACCAGGTCTGGTACATCTCTACTCTCAAAAGTTCTCAGCAGGAGTAGCAACTCTTCAGTTCTGAAACTGAAATGTTGCATTGCTAACTCATGAGTTTTTAAGATTGTGTAGGTCCATTTCTTCTCTGTGATTTACTACAAGAACTCTTGTAGACTTCACGTATATGTGGACAATGGAAGGGCAGAGGTCTGGGAGAGGGGGAGCCTGAACTTTCCAGTGGAGTTTGGTGGAAAAGCCTATAAGCCTCTGCCTCAACCTAAATTAGATGGATTAAGTTTGCAGCATTTCTTCAAATCAGAATCCCCTAAACCTCAGAAAAGGTATAATGACAAACGACTTTTTAATCGGGCCTCAAATGTCAAATTCCATATTTTTATTTTTCATAACCAGTTGGACTGCTTTGCTTGGGTGGTGGGGGTGTAAGTTTTGTTTTTTTCCACCACCAGGGTTCATCTGCATTGTCTCCATACTGCCGCCAGGCAACAGACTTGAAAAAAACAACCTTTTGCAGTTTGTTTGAGCAATATTCTTCTGCTATCTCGTTCTTTCCTTTGCGGAAGCAAACTGCAGGGCACGGCACAAATATGAATTTATGGCCAGTAAAAATGGTAAAGGGTAAAGGGACCCCTGACCTTTAGGTCCAGTCGCGAACGACTCTGGGGTTGCGGCTTTATTTTGCTTTATTGGCTGAGGGAGCCAGCGTACAGCTTCCGGGTCATGTGGCCAGCATGCCTAAGCCACTTCTGGCGAACCAGAGAAGCGTACAGAAACACCATTTACCTTCCCACCAGAGCGGTACCTATTTATCTACTTGCACTTTGACGTGCTTTCAAACTGCTAGGTTGGCAGGAGCAGGGACCAAGCAATGGGAGCTCACCCCGTCGCGGGGATTCGAACCGCCGAACCTTCTCATTTGTTCATTGAACAGGTTATGAGCAGCAGGGATCAAGAACAGAGGAAGCTGACTTATATGGAGTCAGACCATCTCACTCAGTATTGTCTAGATGTTTTGGGACTACAACTGCCATCATCCCTAGCTAACAGGACCAGTGGTCAGGGATGATGGGAATTGTAGTCCCAAAACATATGGAGGGCCGAGTTTGGGGATATCAGTGGCTCTTTAAGGGTTTCCAACAGAGGTCTCTCACAGCCCTGCCTGGAGATGACAGGGCTCGAACCTGTTCTTTCTGCATGCAAAGCAGATAATTCTGCAACAAAGTTATGGCCCTCCCTCTCAGAAACATTTCTGCTTGCTGGTGAATTTTTAATTGTACCTTATAGTTATTTGGATTAATTTTAGAGCTTATCACATATAGTAAACAGTAGTATTCTTTTGCTAAATGCAGCATTTTGAAAATGTAAAAACAACAACACATAAGCACAGTTCAGCCAGATGTAAGCACCATTGATTGTAATGGAAGATATTAAATGCATGCATTTACTTCTGAAATGAATGGGACTTCATTCATTGCTTAACTGTGGCTGGACTGCATTGCAACATACATAGAAGATAGCTCAGTTGGTAGAGCATGAGACTCTTAATCTCAGGGTTGTGGGTTTGAGACCCATATTGAGCAAAAGATTTGTGCATTGCTGGGTGAGGGTTGGACTAGGTGACCATTCCATTGCGTCCCGTTACAACTCGACAATTCTATTGAGTCTTCTAGCCACAAGCTATAAATGTTACTAAAAGGATGCATCTGAGTCTTCTTCAAAGGGCAGAACAATCTATTCAACAGGCGACAAAACTTCCATTACTCAAGTGTAATTAGTTAGACCAAATGGTTTTATTTTGACAGCTTCATGTATTATGCTCAAGGTTCACAACCTAGATGCTTTTAAGCATGCCATGAAATATCTAATGTGTGACAGCAACATGTCTACAAGCACACCTATTATGCAGGTCCCTTTGACTGGAAGCTGTGTTTGGCCGCAACTTCCTCTACATGACACACTCAATGAGAAACCCAAAGTTCACTTAGGTACAATGAGCCAAAAAAAGTTTGTTTTCCAAATCGTATGATTTCATAGCTTTCCCAGCTTAGCATTGCAAATTGTTTTTAGGGGGAAAGGGGGGGAAATGCATTCCTCCACTTTAAAATTTTATTCTCACACACACACACACACTGGGGGCAACACATCCCATTTCGCTGCATGAGGCAAATGGAAATTGGCGTCAGCATCAGCGCCAATGCTGGATGAGGTCACACCAGTTTCTGGCAAGGTCGCACATGCTCGTGCGATTTCAGCGAGATTTTGCCAGGTTTATTGCTTGATCGGAGATGATCATACCACACGGGCAACCACCTTTTAAGGTACTAACAGTGCAATCCTGCAAACGTTCGCCCAGATTAAGTTCCGTTTTTAAGAACTGCAATCTTGAAAAGCATTGTCGGTCTCCTGTTTTTAAAAAGCTGTTCTCAATACAATAAGCTGCCCTAGAGAACTTCCCTCGCAGGAAATTCCCAAGAAAATGCCAGGGTGTTGTGTCTCAGGGGTGTGTAACATTTATAACAAAGCTATTACAGGCAACATCCCTCATTCTCGTTTTTACCTGTTTTCATATCTTGGGATCCTGTGGGCTCCAGCCCTCATCCCAACTCTTTTCTGCTTTATTGCTGGCTAAAGTGAATGGCCTGATAATAGGAATGAGAGACTACCGGAGTTTAAAATGAAATTTCCAGAGACAAAAAGGCAAATGCCTGTTTCCATCCAGCCAAGTGTTTAGACCACGATAGTACTTAACAACTTATATGGTGCTCTGAACTGTTTAAAGGACTTTAGGTACTGACTCAGTAACCTTCACAACTACTCAGTGAAATAAGTCAGTGGGTTCCCCCTGCCCCCGTATTACAAATGGAGCCAGGGCTGAGACTGAGGAAATAGTAGCTTACCTAAGGCCTCCAAGTGATTTTGTGGGTCAAAATAGATTTTAAGCCAGAACTTTCCAACTTCTTAGCACCCCTCATTGTTGTTGTTGTTTAGTCGTTTAGTCGTGTCCGACTCTTCATGACCCCATGGACCAGAGCACGCCAGGCATTCCTGTCTTCCACTGCCTCCCGCAGTTTGGTCAAACTCATGCTGGTAGCTTCAAGAACACTGTCCAACCATCTTGTCCTCTGTCGTCCCCTTCTCCTTGTGCCCTCAATCTTTCCCAACATCAGGGTCTTTTCCAGGGAGTCTTCTCTTCTCATGAGGTGGCCAAGTATTGGAGCCTCAGCTTCAGGATCTGTCCTTCCAGTGAGCACTCAGGGCTGATTTCCTTAAGAATGGATAGGTTTGATCTTCTTGCAGTCCATGGGACTCTCAAGAGTCTCCTCCAGACCATAATTCAAAAGCATCAATTCTTCGGCGATCAGCGTTCTTTATGGTCCAGCTCTCACTTCCATACATCACTACTGGGAAATAGCACTCCTCACACACTAGCATAGCATTGCCATGCTCCTTACCCCCTCACTTCCCATGGGGCATCCCCATGATGCCATCATTCATTCGTACCCACTGGGTGCCAGGAGGCTGTGACCCTGAAAATGGCAAGCGGGGTTAAAGACCCACAAACCAGCGAGGACCTTTGGTACAAGCAGTTCCTTGCTGGATGGTGAGTTTTGGTCCAACCAACCATCATTTTTAGAGATACAGCCTTTTCCTTTCCCATATAAACAAATGGAGACGTGTTAAGAACTCCCACACACCCCTGCAATTAAACATTGCCAGTCTCACTTACCATCACTGTCAGAGCTGCTTCCAGATCCTAGCTCACAGAGGATCACGCTAGCCAGCGATCATTAAGCAAAAGTCTTTATTGAGTTACAGTTTCCATTCTCAAGCTGCTGCGTGCAACTCTACGTCTCATGCTTAGACCGGCGAAGCTCCGTCTGAGTCTCCGCCCCTTGTACACCAACTTAATATCCTAGCCCTGCTCCACCTTTTCCGCCTGACTGTTCTTCTCTGGGTCCCTCTGCCCCCCCGGGGTCTCTTCCTTCCGGGATTCCTCTGACGCTGACGCTTACTCCCTGACTCTTCTCCCTCCTTTCGGCGGGCTTTGGGACCTGGCTCCCTTTCCGGGCTGCCTACTGCGCCACCTTCCTGTGCATTTGAACTTGGCGCGCGCGCCCAACCTTCCACCTTCCGTCTGACCGTTTCTTCGCTCCCCGATGGAGGTGTGGCCACTCCTGACTCGTGCCCTCCCCCCTGTTGTGAGTTGCCAGCGCTTGATCCCTGGTGCCCTTCCTCTTCCCTGCTCTCTGGCGGTGACGTTGGTCCCGATTTCCAACTGCTCCCCTCTGAGTCCCCTCTGGCTCTATCTTCCTGGGGTGTCCCCCTAGGCTCCCCCCTTGCCCTGGCCACTGGTGCTCCTTTCTGTGAATCTTCTGATTCACTGGAAAGACTCGGAGATCTCGGGTCGTCGTCATCACTCATCTTTTCTTCTGCCTCCTCCCCTCGCTCTCTGTTTCCTCCCTTGCCCTTGCCTCTGCTCCTGAACCCCTGACATCCATCCCCCTCGAAGCCCCCTCTTCCCCCTCCCCTCCTTCCGGTGCGGGATCTGGGTGCTGCCGTGTCAGGGGACGAATGTCGGATACAGTTCGCTTCCCGTGGCGGGCCGCCATCTGAAGTCTTCCGGTTCTTCCTCCCTGCTCTCGTTGACGACGGTCACCTCCGCTTCCATCTCTGTGCCGCCGTGCTCGAAACCCGGGTCGTCCCCGAAAAGTCCATGTCCGTCTCTCCCTCGTTGCCTTCTGGAGACGTTGCTCGTCCTGGGACCTCCAGCCACCTTCTACGGAACTGCTCCTCTGGTCGATCATCCCACCAATACGAGGGTTCTGAAGCAGATCCTGAGGGTGACCCCTCCGGGGAACGGGCGTCTCGTGTCGGTTCCTCGTCCGAGTCGAACCCCCGGAACGTGCTGGCTGAAAGCGTGGGCGTGAAAAGCCAGTCGTCGAAAAAGTCTGCTGGCATTGGCCTATGTGGGAAGAGGGCATGAAACTCTTCTTTGAGCAGAGGTTCGTCTAAAGCGTAGCCCGGCACCCAGCTGTTGGCACTGGCCGGGGTGCCCTCCTTGGCGAGAAGGTATTCTACCCCCTCTTCCCCCCATCTGGAGTCCAAAATCTCCGTGACTTCGTTGATGCGCTCCTCCCGTGCCACTCCCCCCTGCCCGGTTCTCTCTCGGAGCGGACCCGGTGCCGTTCCTGGTTCCTGAAACCTGTGAGGTGCCTTGTAGGGAGTGAGCACCGATCTGTGGAACACCGGATGCATTCTGGAACCCTCCGGAAGAGCCAGCCTGAAAGCTACCGGGTTGACCTGTTCTTCGACTTGGTAGGGCCCCAGTTGTTTATGCCCTAGTTTCTTCTTCGCCAACGACCTGGCCGGCACTGCGTGGGCTGCTAACCAGACCCAGTCTCCCACATGGATCTCTTCGCCAACCCTTCGGTGTTTGTCCGCTTGTACCTTGTATGCGTGTTTAGCCAGCTCCAGGTGCCGCCGCAGCTGATCGTGGACCTCCTGCAACTCCGACGCGAATGCATCTGCTGTCTGCGGCTCCCCCCCCCATTCTTTCCAGTCCCGGGAAGGTTCTGGGGTGCCTCCCGTTGTTGGCGAAGAACGGCGTGACCCCCGTGGACACGTGCTTCGTGTTGTTGTAGGCAAACTCGGCGAGAGGCAGGTAATCCACCCACGTCGCAGGCTGTTGATTCGCATAACATCTCAGGTACTGCTGCATGATGGCATTGACCCGCTCCGCTTGCCCATTGGTCTGCGGGTGTCTAGCCGACGCCAGGTTGATCTTGACGTTCAGGAAGCCCATCAGCCTCTGCCAGAAGTTCGAGATGAACTGTCGCCCTCGGTCGGACAGAATAGACCGCGGCAGACCGTGAACCTTGAACACGTGGTCTATGAACAGTTTGGCGGTTTGTTCCGCCGTGGCCACCTTCGCACACGGAATGAAATGTGCCATCTTGGAGAACAAGTCCACCACCACCAGCACAGCCGTCTTGCCCCTCGAGCTGGGCAGATCCGTGACAAAGTCCAGGGCCACTCTCTCCCATGGTTCGAACGGAGTTTGCAGCGGTTCCAGCAGTCCGGCCGGCGGTCTGTGCACTGGTTTGGCCCTCTGGCAGGTGTCACACCTCGCCACGTAGTCCGCGACTTCCCCTCTCATTCCTGGCCACCAGAAGTCTCTGGCTACTAATTCCACCGTTTTCTCCTTGCCAAAGTGCCCGGCAGTGGGCGCGTCGTGCAGCTGCTGCAGTACCTTGGCGCGAAGTTCGTCTCCCGGCACGTAGATGGCCCCTTTACGGATGAGCAAACCATCTCGCAGCTGGAACTCGTCGGTCGCTGCCGTGCCCCTGTGCGCCTCTGCCATCTTTGCTTGCGCGAAGGAGTCATCCTGCAACGCTCGTCGCACCGCCTCCAGGTCAACTGTCGCCGCCGTGCACGCCCACACTGTCGGTGCGAAGATGTGCATGGCGGCCGCTGGCGTTGCCTCCTCCAAATACTGTGGCTTACGGGAGAGAGCATCCGCCATGATGTTGGTGTTCCCCGGGACATACTCTATTCGGAAGTCGAAATTCGCAAAGAACTCAGC